ACCCCCAATGCCCGTGTGTTCCAGTGTGCAAAATCCACAGCGCTGTCCCAAAAGCAGTTGTTGGCGGATGCTGGGAGGGGTCTCTAGTTTAAACTTGTACGGTTACGCAGTTACGCACGTTTATCTGCATGCAAGAAAGAACATCAGAATCCTTGGGGCTGCACAGTCTTGACACTCGACACAGTGGAAAATCAGACAATCCCTGGTTGGCCTGGGACTCTTTGCGCATGACCAGTCTAGTGGGGGAACCCACCAAACAGGGAAAACGGGTGCGACTGACCAACTGGGAACCCCAGAAGAAAAAAAAGAGCTCCCCTCCCAAAAAAAGTTGCCCCCACCCATACAGGCCAAGCAGAAGAGGCGTAAAGGCCAACTTTGGGCAAAGGTTTCTTGCAGGGGACCAAAACTCAGTCACCAAAAAAAACACACAGAAATCCAAGGTCAACCTTTTGGAACCTTCACAAGAAGTAAAAACAACAGAAAACCAGAAGGTTAAAAGGTCGGTCTTGAACAACTGAGAAATAGTGGTTCTCCTTCTTTGAAACACCAAATTAGGGGTACCCTCCAAAGACACAGCCACATCTGACAGGCGGCATCCGGTCTTTCTGAACGTAACGACCACGCGCCCATCGGTCATTGTCGAGCCGAGAATCGGGCGAAGGCCCTGGGTCACAAGGCGATCGAGGCGCGTCATATCCGCTCACTTCTTGCGTCGTCTTAAAAGCACGACGTCTCTTCGTCACGCGCAAGACCTGGTGGTAGAGGAACACATTTTTTCCCCAAGACAGGCCATAGGATCCATAGGCAAAATAGGCCCATGGCAGATGCTTGACACGGAACTATTCAAACAACAAAAGCGGAACTGCGCATCTCACAACATCCGCCTAAATGGTCGAGTTGAGATGCAGTTCCATGGGGCAAAGCCGGTTCGATCGGCAGCGAGCTTCATTGTCCGGGTCGCAAAATCACCTGAGCCTCGCCCCAGCTTTCACGCGCAGCGACTCCTGCGGTGAACTTTTAGACCTTAGACATCGCATTGAATTCCCTGCCAGGCCGATCAATGGCACCGACAGGTCACGTTTGCATGCCCTCCGCGTATGGCAGTGAAGCTGCCTGATGGATGCTCAAAGCCAAGGAAGAGGCGCTTCTACGAGGTGGGTCAAAGAAATGAACAGCCAACAAATACAAAGGAGGGTCCAATGCAGGGGACCCTCGAGTCCGCATAATGCTCACTAAAGTCCTGGCTGAAGACTTGATCTCCTAAGTCGCTTTGGGCGCTGTGTTCTCCGTGGTTCAACTGTTGAACCCTAAGCATATGACCACAACAGCCGTTTATGCATTTTAATGCCACAAAAACAAGGCTTGCTTCGGTCTGGCTCCCTCTTGACGCGATGTGCTTTGCATTCCGGGTGTCAAACAAAGGTCTGGATCAACACACATGGTTGCTATGTAGCACTCTGCATTGTAGCAATTTGCATTTTGTTTGTGAACTAGTAGACATTCCCAACGCCCCAACAGCTAAGCTCGGCATCTACAGGGTGCCAAGTGCTGCTTGTTGTGCAAGAAGCAGCGACAAAACAAAGCAAATAAATGAATGAACCACCCATGAACCAACCATGAGCTAGCACAAAGGAACCAAACATAAACTAACATCTTAGTTGGACACCAAATGGTCCACCAAAAATCAAGAGGTCAACAAGCTACCTCTGGAGGTTCCAAGCTTCTGACCTAACTTGCCCAAACTGGAACCTGCAGTGAGCTCTTTGCTGGTTAGAAGAGAAGGACACCTGCACCTAGGACCTAGGTAGAACTTGCGGTAGGAACCGCAAAAAAAAAGAAAGCGAGCTTCACAGTGTACAGGGTGCCCCCTAACCCCCAGGGTACAAGGGCAAACAAATTGGTATGTTTAATTGTAACGCTACTCCAAAGACGGTATCTTCCAAAACAACGACACACACTAAGTGTCTTGTCAATCTCGAGGGTCAACATTTGATTTGGGGTGGAGGGCCATCGCGGCAATTATCACCCAGTAAAAGAATCACAACACCCAAAAAGACCCACCTTTCACACACATCCAAAAACCGGATTGACGAGAAGATCCTGCGAAGCAGCCTGGAATACCGCACTACTTGTGTGAGGTGGTGTGCCAAACAACAAACATCGCATCATGAAATATGCTTCACGGAATGTGATCATTGTTCTATAGGGGCATCAAAGTTTTTGCGCATTCGCGGAGGTGCATCTGGCCGTTTGTCAACGGGGGAGCGCCCAAAACTCGAGATCGGACAAAACATGGATCTGCGGATGCCGCGCAAATTGCAGCTTTGTTCTTCTACCTGCAACATTTCGGGCATCCGGGCGAGTTGCTTAGTCCGATCTCGAGGCCTTTGCAGGTGCTGACCCCTCGTTGCCAACTGTGCGTGGCTGCTAAGATGCAGCGTCTGTTGCAGGTGCCCCGCGGGGCAGCTGGAGAAATATAAATGCCCTGGCCGCAATCCCAGACGAGCCACGTAAACGTTGGATCAATCCGGAGAATTACGAAGATGTCGAATGGGTGAGGTCCCAAACCAACTCCCCAAACTGTGAGCTCGCGGTTTCATTCCAAAATGTTAACCCAAAGCCCCTCTTAAGTCAATGTCTTCACCGATCACGGGAACTGTGACTGAAACCCAGAAGACATCTCAAGTGCGTCGACTAGAATACGAGTGGTCCAGCCTTGCACGCCCCATGCTCAGGGCAATCCAAGGGAAAACGAAGAGTTTGAAGGTAAGTATGGGTATCTGGAATAAACTTAGAGGCCAGCATTTGGACAAGGGATTCCCCAACCAAGGATCGACACTTCAATTTGCTCAAGTTGGCTGGATCAAAAATAACAACACATTGGTTGATTCCCTTCAAAACCATTTAAGCGAATGGAAGGGCATAGTGGGCCTTTTTACACGGGAATCGGTGCAAACGGCCAGTGGACGGCCTATTGAACTTGGCGAATCTCTGGTCCCTTGGCTCGCCGGATTCCGTGCGGCCGGCGGCCGTTGCTTTTTGCTTGGGCCAAATTTCCGGTGGCACAGGGTGGCTCCGATCCGACTTGGGGGCCGAATGCGTGTTGTTTTTGAGTAGCCCTTTCGGGTTCGTTTAAGGAGAAACCAAGAGCTAAACCGCAATAAAAGGATCGAGCCCTATTTCACTATACCCAAATTAATCATTAGAATTGGAGTGGGTACTTTGAAGCCAAATTCAGCAGCAGACATCGATTAGCACCTTATGTTGACCCCGGCACACGTATGGCGGAAACTTGGGTGCCTAGGTGGGGGACTCAATCAAGCGCCCTTTGCGAGGGTCCCAGGTCCCATGATGCTGATGCGGGTGGTCAAGGGAAAATAATTGGATTAGCCAGAAAAACAAAACAGATAACACTTGTTGTTTGCCTCTCAAATGGTCTTACAAGTGACTCAACTCCAGGAACTTGTGAAGTGAGCGGAGGAGAAACGGATTTTTGTTCAGCCCGCCTCATCAAATCTTCTAGGATCGAATCAAGTGAGCAACCCCTTGGCAAGTGCCTCCCGAATTCTCAGTGCAGCTTGTAGATCAAACACCATCTGCATCCTCGCACGACGCGCAATCCCAAACCTTGTACATGGAGTCATTGTCTGACTGGGCCAGCCCTCCCAAAAAAACGCAAAGAGGAAGAAGCTCAACTTGTTTCTGTTGCGTACAGTACGTGGGTTAGACGACGAGGTTTTCTTAAAGGACCATGACTGCATGTGTGTCACATCTGGGGTATACAGAAACATATGTTCTGACTCTGGTTCATATTTTTGTCTGCAGTCTACCCCAAAATATGAAATACTTGTTTGAATGATTCGCCAGAGTAGTAGTATCGCACAAACGTTGACAAGTTGGTTTTGCGTCCCAGCTTTGCCACATCCTTCCAGTATATTTGGTTAGTTCCGAAATTGGCTAGAAGATCTCTTAAACGGCAGATGACGTCAGTGGGGTCCCAAGAGGGGCCCCGCATTTTTGGCCAACACATATTGTGAAATGGGCACCGTACTCAGCCTGTTTCTTATGTCCAGGTGTCCGGGGCCGCTGAGCCTTCGAGAATGTTGCCGTCCCTCACGCTTCCAACATGGAAGCTGACACGATGTTGTCTTTAAGGGGAAATCGTCTATTCAGATACCCTGAATGAGGAGTGTTTCTGGCAGGAGGGATTTGCCAAATTTGACATGGGCGTATTCGGCCTCTGCATGGTCTGTGCTCTTTACAAGATGGGACCCAATTACCAAGATAGTTCTAAGGACAGAGCATGACATGATGTAAGAGTTCGTTGTTTTGGGGTCGGTGTTTGGCCAACTTCCTGTTCGATTTCCCGCTGGATTCAAAAAATAGGGATCTGGGATGATAGGCCCAGGTAACCTACTAACTTCCTTTGTGGATTGGACAATCCAACTCAGGGTGTCAGGGAGAGAGACTAATTAGCCCCAGGCTTCAAAACAAGGCAAAACGTTGATGCAGTGAGCCCAGAACCCCTCGGGCTCCCTGTAGTTCCCACAAAGGCAACTCACTTTTTGGGCTGGCTCAACAGGTGATAGTTCAAACCACAAAAGACCGAAGTTAAGTTAAAGTATCTGCACGAAACAACCGTTCATTGGCTCAAATGCAGCCCTTAAGGGAGACCGTTTTCATTCTCAGCATTGGACTGGCAATCTACCGGCTGCATCCTGGTGGACCATCCTCAAACATCCTCAAACTACCCTTACAAATGGGGTGGACATTGCCGCAAGAGCAGGTATCTACCCGACCTTATGCCTACCAAAAACGGGCTCCTTTCCGTTACCATATGATTGTCCTGTTGTAGCGATCACGTGTCCCCTATTTCTAGATCTCCCCCAGACCCCCAGTGCCTCGTGCTGGGTAGCCTAGTTGCAGGGAACCCCTCCAAAAAGAAGACCGGCACTGTTCGACTCCCACCCGAGCTCCTAGCAGGTGGGGGAGCTCAGCGTTCAATGTCGCTCACCTGTGGCTCCAGCAGCGTCCATGTTTAACTGTTTAAGGCACAAGAAGGGGAACTCTCAGCAAATGGGATGCGCCCCCCAATCAAGTTCAGCCATATCGATCCGGTGTCCATTATCCCAACTCAAAGGGTGTACATGGTGTACGAAATACAAGGGACCCGGCACCCAATAAATTGGAGGGGGGACTGTGGGGGAAAGAACAACGTGAGAACAAAGTGGGATTCCCAGTGACAACCTTCCCATTGTGAAGGGGAGCCTTGACAGAAAATGACCCTGAAACCAAATGCAACCATACCCCGATTTGGCAGAAAAAAACACCGAGCCACTGGCGAAATGTAAGGGCACCCAGAGGGCACGTGACGCTCCTTTCACATTGGCAAAAGAGCCTGACACAGGTTCCCTTGTGAAAGAGTATTTTGAGGATACCCTCTGTGGGGTTGATTGAAAGGACAGAACAGGAAAACTTGCTTCTTCTTTGGGGGGGTCCATATCCAGGAGAAAGGGTACCGGGAAAGTTTGCAAGATAAAGAACCTCTGTTCGAAACCAGCTACCTCCCTTTTTAAACAACGCTTGATTGAAGCCTCCCTTAGTCCTTGTCCTTCCGTCTGCCTGTTTGGCTTCTCTCTGTTGCTGCCAGGTGTCACTGCTGTGGCAAAGACACAGCAGGGATGCCTTCAGGGCACACCCACCAAGTCGGTGGTGCTTGTGCAAACAGCACGCCCAAGTCTGAAATGCATATTCGGGCGGGCTGCATACTGCTGGGGGAACACCTGATTGTCTGGGTTTGAAGGGAAGCAAGAAGGAAGCCAACCAGTTTGAGTGTCCCCTGATTTTGAGACACACCGACTCTCTCGCTTCGGTTGAGTGTGCTCAAATTCCGCTGCGAATCTCTGGCATCTTAGAGGCCCTCCGAAAATAGGCCGCCTATTCTCGGCAGGGAGACTGGGCTTGCCTCAAAATGAAGACCCTAGAATGGATTTTGCTTCGCTTTTGAAAACTATTGGAATAACAAAAAGCGGGGGCCGCAGAAAAGGCACACCCTTATTCACCCCATTCCTGCTGGTTTTGCACTGGAGAAGCTTCTTGTGGTGAAGGGAAATCAAGTTTCGCCTATCCGGAAAGAGACATAAAAAGGCATCTTGATCCCCTACAAACAGACACGGAACCCAGAAAACACCCATTTCTAGAGGCAACTCCTCTCCCATTTCGGGTGCCATGTCAATTTGCAGGGAAGTACTCCAATAAGTCACCCACTTGGTTGACTTTCGCTACAAAGGCTTGCTTAGGCCCTCATCATCCGACCAAAGAGTGGAACCTTTACAGGGGCCAAACGGTTGGGGCGCGGCTGGTCGCTTGTGGGGGCGTCTGCCGCGGGGCAAATTTGGCTCGAACCAGGCCGCGGCCACCTGTACTCAGTTGATTTCTGCTCCCCTGCTAAAGGCTTAACTTTTAGTGGTTTGACGGAAAACCCGGTCAGCAAAAAGTTAAAGTCCTAGCATCCAAGCAAAAAGGCACCGCTGTGTAGAGGGAACCCTAGGAGGTTTACTTAAAGGCCTTGAAAACTGTGGTTTAAACAAGGGGTTGAATCGCCGTACCCTGGGACCCCCATTCCATTCTCCACAAAGGGGAGAAGGAACTCGAAATGACATTCCAATGGTCACAAATAGGGGGTCAGGAAAAATCAACGAACCCATCAGCTGTTGGTTCCCCTGCGAGCAAAATTCAAAGAGATCGCACCATTCTTGAGGGATTTGACCAGCAACTTTGTTGCTGTTGACCCCTCTGCAAAAAGTTTAACTGTTTCTGGGTTTAGTGGAAAACCCCTTCATTTCCCAAAAAGTTGACGTCTAAAGATCCAACCCAATAGCAGTCAAGGCAAAAAGGCAAGTCGGGCCTCTTGCGCGAAGTCCTCGAGACTTCCTCGGAACCATCCGGCATTTCGCTTGCCATCAGATGACCCCCCCATGTCACCTTCTGAGCAGCCCAAAATGGCCCAGGCTCGGGGTTTAGCACGAACTTGGTCTTCCCAAAAAGCACAAAGTCCAGGAACTCGTGGAGTGAGTATTTGGTGGTTTGGATTGGTCTCGTTCTCCATGTGCTTGGTCAAATGCACACTGGATTGGTGTGTTGGGGCCCCGTCCCGATAGGCACCAGCATAGATCTGCCCATGTCATGGCGAGCTCACCAATCAGGGAGTAAACCAGTGATTGTCCCTCATTTGGGCATCAAATTCTGGTTTTTGGCTTTTGAAACTTGTAGAATTTGCGGATTCGTGGTTAGCGGACAGGCGCGCATCGGCTTTGGGCAACTGAAAAGAAACGGGCAGTCTTACCCTATCCTGAAAAACTAAATGGAAGGCAGCTCTAACCTCCAAGCCTCCAACCCAAAATAGATCAAGCCACAAAAACCAGGCGAAGCTGAGCACGCAAAGCAAATGGATCTAAGCAAACTATCATATTACCCCACTCCCGAAAACATGCAAGTAAGGGATCTTCATTCTTGGGTCAATGTCCTTTTTACCCCCGAATCGGTTTGCTCGGTATGCTTTGCCTAGATGTATATCATGTATCTGTGCATGCAAATAGGTACACCGAGGCCCCTTCACTTTTTGTCACCTGTAACTGTACCCACAAAACATACGTGTCGCCCACGAGGTATTATTATGCTGTATGATCGTGCTGGCAGGCTTAGGGTTCTTAGGGTTTAGGTTTAGGGTTTTTAGGGTTTGGGGTTTAAGGTTTGTAAGGTTTAGGTTTAGGGTTGTTAGGGTTTAGGTTTAGGGGTTTTAGGGGTTAGTTTAGGGTTTTCAGGGTTTTCAAGGTTTTTAGGGTTTAGGCTTGGGGTTTTTAGGGTTTAGGTTTAGGGTTTGTTAGGGTTAGGTTTAGGGTTTCCAGGGTTTAGGTTTTCTTGGAGCTGGCTGGCCGGTTTAGGTTTAGGGTTGTGTTGCTGATAGCAGTATATAACCAGCCGCGCTCCATGAAGGGGGTATGGAGCATGGAGCTGGGGTGGGGCCCGGGGAGCTCGGAAGGCCCAGTGGCCTTGAAAAAACGTGCAGCCGTTCTTTCTTGTATGATTTCAAAGGGCAAGCCCCCTTCCCAAAACGTTGAGAAAAGGAAGCAATGCAGTGGGTCTCTGAGAAAAAGGCGCTGCTTGGCGCTTTGCAGCCGAGGCTCCAGCTCCGAACATCCTGCATCTCGTAGCCTCGGGGGGGTTCCCATCCGAAATTCCATGGCAAAAGGTCCCGGACTCTTTACTAGACATCAATTTGACACAAATTAAATCACGTCCACCAACCACTGTTGACGTGGTTCACCATTATAACTCATAGCCATATCATGCCTTATCCACATGACGACGCGCCCTTTTTCAAATGGGGCCATTCATCAAGCAAAACCAGCCGACGAGGAAAATACCAAGAAACAAAACTATGCGAGGAATGGCATAGGCATAGTTACTTTCCACCCAGCACAACAACAAACAACAAAATGCCCAACAAGCACAGAGGATGGCTTAGCTAGTTACGATTCTCCCCCCCCCCAACCCCTGCCCCCTCGAAGAAAAGCAAAGATATACCCACGTTCGCTCTCCCTCTCTCTCGCGCTCTCTCTCTCTCTCTCTCTGTCTGGCTTTGCTTCATTGCTTGTCCACTTGTTTGCTTGTTTGATTGCTTGTTTGCTTGCCTCGTTCCTTCCTTTTCGTGTCGGTGTTGCATCCGACAAATCCATGTAGGACTTTGTTACATTGTTAGCTCCTCAAACACCGAAACAAAACAACCAGCAGCAAGAAGCTCGTGCAACAAAATACTGGATGCCTTGACATGGCTGGCACTGCCTGGCTTGCTCCTCTAGCTGTTCTTCAATGTTTGCCACTAAGTTCTTCCTCGTTGCTTCGACAGATTGAGAACCTTGCAATAAACAACCTCAATAGCTCGTTGCTGGTAAAAAGGGAACATGAAGGAACCCAAAGCTATTTTCTTGAGTGGATTAGCCAAAAAAGCCCAAACCTGCTGCTTGCCACCGAAATGGCCTTGCCAACAAGCACAAAGTCCAGGAACTCGGGGAGTGAGTAAGAGGCAAAGGCGAAACCTTCAGTCTGGCAATGGCTGGACTAGTCTGGCAAGCTTGAGCATCTCACCGTAAGTGTGCGAAGGGCAAGGCGATCAGAGCAGTGCAACCCAAAGTATCAACTATTCTAGGGCATATATCACATCATTCTTTCCAGAAAAGAATCAGACACACTGGGGAATCATGTGTTTTGATCGCAAACGGTGATTGAAAATCATGGGGAATCAGCTCGTAGCAGTTTAAAAGAACACACGCAGCACGCCAAGAGTCACCCGCATGTTTTCAGTCAGACATGCCCAAGCGGGAAATTGGCAACATGAGAACAGCCGATGCACAGAACTGCTTGTGCCTCGAGGCAAGCCGTCAAATATGTTCACTGATGCCCCTACTTGTGTCAAGACTTCAATTGCCACCACATGCCGCAACATGATGAGTGTGTGTGGGTGGGCGTACTCAATGGCTAGAAAGAGCCAAACACAACTTAAAAAGTGTAGGGAAGCACCACGTTCTGCCTGCCACACTTGTCATACTGATTATCTTCAAGCCAACTTCTGCAACGAAGGGTTCCCCCCCCCCAAACACATGAGCCAAAAAACTTGGTACTAACTTCGTCTACCCAAACCATGCAACGAATGTAAATGGCGGCTTGGCTTATGTTTGGGACTATCCTTTACCTTCGTCACCCAGGTTTTGATTGTGGCTCGACATGTCCTGTCAAGACCTGCAAACAGGCAGACCACCATATGGGTCCCTCCATGTCCCACCACTTGAGCAGCGCCCGCCCATAACTTTTGGTTCTATTAACATCTACTAGCGCAGTTTGTATAGTTTGAACCAGGTAGTAAACAACTTACTGAAATGGCCAATAGAAATCGGCTTCGGGCGCTCACATGAAGCGAGTTGCCACTCGGCACGCGTCCTTG